AGTCACCAGCCCAGCGACAGGCTCTTTCAAAAAAACTACTTAAGATTGCTAAGGAAAGGAATGCACGAAACGGCAGGCATACTTCTTCGCTGCAGATATTTGCCGGCGGACTGCCCTCCCTCAGCACTTGTACAATTGCTGAGGAATGAACCATACTGCGCAATTTCTTCTCCTGCTTCCTCGTCTGATAAACATCCAGCGTTATCGACAGCACTGTCATCGCAACAATCACTGAGGCATAGATTTCGTATTCATCCGTAAACCATACAGAAACACTGCAACATTCGCTTCTGTTTAATGGCAGGGGATGCCTAAACACACAGAAAACGCCTCAGCATTCGCATTTTGCAAGGGAACAACAGGACCGCCGGGATTTGCTTCGTCATGATGTTCGGAAAGTAGGACAATCATCTGTAAACCCTAAGGCGACTTAGGTCCCTAGTATGATGGTACTTGATTTCATCAGCAGCCAACTTCTACGCCTCCAATCGCGATGGCAACGCGCAGCCAAATCACCAAGCCTCAACAATCTTATGATTAGCAGTACCTGCCCATTCTTTTGATGTTACGAAGCAACGAAAAAAAAAAACCTGAATAGCTGAAATATATAAAATGGTGATATAAATTCCAGGAACAAGAGAACGAAGATGGGCTTGAGCTTGACTTCAATCAAATTTTTTCCATAAACCGTCAAGCGTTTCCTCACTTCATCTTTCGATAACCCATTCGCAGCCATATCGTGGAAGCGAAGGAAACTGATCTGGAATTAATTCACTGCTACTGCACTGATGTACTATTGAGAAGCAAAAAAAAAAAAATACTGAAAAGAGAAGCATACCAAAGATGTGTGGCGAAGTAGGAAAGCAAGCAGGAGAAACTGGGAAGATACTCACACATTAGATGATTTTCCGTTCTGTGCTGAGGACAATGTAACCAAAACTGTTCACGTGTAAACAAAAAATAAGAAAAAAAATCGAACCAAGAAGCATAAAAATTGGATAAGTTTACAGAATCTAACCGATCCGAGATGTGAAAAACTGAAAAAAAAAGACAAAATTTCAGCCAAACGGATGCAAAATATAGCCAAATGAGGCAGTTTTGGCCGGAGAACGCATAAATCAAGTAGTGCAGGTGAGGATTTCAGGCAAGTGGAGAAAAATCTAGCCAGTACAGAGCAAAACTGGGCCACAAAACCGTGAAATTTAACGGTGAAGGCGTGAAAATCAGGAAATAAGTGTTGGATCGTGCGCAAAGCAGATTCAGGAACGCTGGAAAATATTCTTTAGACAAAGAAGTGCAAAAACAAGGAATGCATCTGTCATTTTAGGTAGTGAGGAGGGACAATTCAGCCAAAAAAATCAAAGTTGAGGGGTGCAGGACTTCTAGTTCTTCAGCCGACGGTCAGCTTAACACTGGCTGAAAAGATAATTTAAAAGAAGCTTTCACACATGGAACCAATGCGGTAAAGGGCCATATGCGCTGAAGAACAGAAACTTGGCTAAATGAAAAACTGTTAAAAACAAGAAAGTATATGAATTCTTATGAAGGCACAAGGGCGGGATCGTGCAAGGGGAGGGAGGAGGAGGGGAGGAGAGAGGAAGGGAGAAGAGAGGAGAGGATGAGGAGGTGAGTAAAGTGGACAGTGAGGGAGAATTTTAAATGAAAATGACAGCTTAAAACGCTGATCACTTACATCTGTTTCGAGCGAATCAATTGGAACGAATCGCTCCTCGTCTGGATACCAAAGATGCATGAGCTTCTTGTAAGTAAAATATCGTAGGCTACTCACATCAGTCATTCGAAATCCAGGAATTGGAAGTGCTGGCTGAAGGCCAGCACCGGCAATCATGCAGCGCACCGGGCGAAAGGCCAAATTCATGTGTTCATCCCTGAAAGGTCCCAACATCAAAGTTGAAAGCGCCAACAACAAGCTCCTCTTATTCGGATGAAAGCTTTTATGCGCCGAAAAAGCGCTTCAAAGCATTCTAACTTCCTCATAAAAAAGTTAAAAAGATAGTGGAAAAGTTGGAGAGAAGTTCATCAGTGTGAATCGCTGGGGCGCCAAATTATGAACTTTTGCAGTCCTGGACAGAGGTGCAAGTAACTTAGCCAGCAACACAGCGCTTTCTAAGAATCCAGCAACACACAGTGCACGTTGATGATTCTTCGTCAGGGAGATGCAGTTTGGTCAGCACTCAGCCGGCGGTTAAAAAGTATTTGGTTACTGCTCCATCTTTCTACATACTGTTTTTGAGGAATAACTGCAGAAGCTAAACTTAATTCGTCCACCTGGCAACCCAAAACTAGCGCTAATTCTTCAAAAAATCCGAATGCAGTCACCGAAAAAGGTTATGCAATTCAGTAATTACAGTTAAAATTTCGGTCAGAAGAAGACTTCATAGCTTTTTTCAAGAAAACCCTAGACAGACATTTTTGTGCCGTTTTTAACAACTTAACCAAAGTGAGAGTCTAAAGCCTGTTAAAATAATGTGTAAATTTCACAAGCTTTGAAGTACGCAACTCAAACTCAAATACTCAAAAAAAAAAAAAAAAAAACTGACTAATGCTCCATCTA